ATATTCAAGACTTGCTACCTATTGGCTACCTTTTCTAAATAATTGCTACCTTTGATATATTCCGAGAAATTTATTAAAATAATTGACCAGCCATACTGATATCAGGATGGCTGGTGGCCTCTTTGTTCAGCATGAAGAGAGCAGATTTTCCAGGAGTATGTATTACCAATAATTGCTACCTATTTGCTACTTTCACCAATTAAAGGTATGAGCTTCTTATCTACGTTTCTTATCTTATTGAAGGTTACGGGAATCCGCTGAATGCAAGCAGCGCATGACCGGTCGTTGTGGCGACGTCTTTCGGCTAAAATGATCATAACGATGAAGCAAAAATTTACAATTTGTCCAGGGTTGTTGCTGATGCAGGTTTTTTACACATCAGCGGATGCTGATTTTATGAATTAAAAAATACGCGAAATCGTACATCCTTGCTAAATCTATCTATAAAAGATTTCTATTTTCTTTGGTATTATGATAAAATAATGATTGAATCAATGATTTTGTGACATTTATTAATAAAATAATCATCAGCATGAAAACAATCAATCTGCCTAGTTTAATTGTTCTGGTTTTTATCAAAAATACATTTTAAATAAACAGGTGAGTTGCCTTTTCGGCTTACAGACTGTTTCTGGCAGGTTTCTAAGTTATTCTGGCGTGTCTTATATGTCATGTCAAGACTCGAACATCCGCAATGAATATCAGCATCGATGAATGTGGATATTGTAATATATTCTGATTATCCGCGGATGCGGATGCTGATTTTCGCAACAACCCTGGTATATATACTTCCCCAGGTAGGCAGTGCTATTACTTCAAGCTTCTTAATTCTTAGATTCCCTGTCATTGTAGAGTCAACTCTAAGGACTCAAATCTTTAACACGTCGCACCTCTCATGTAAGAATGAAGTGGAATTACGTCAAACATGTTTATTGCTCCATTAGATATAGAAAAATATAACCCACTTCCTCTCCAATTGGAGATTAGATACAGAAAAATATAATCCATATCATCTCCGATTGGAGAGTCTCCAGGTGGAATTACTTCAAACATGTTTATTGCTCACATGTTTGACGTAATTTCTACGTATGCCATTCTTCCATGAGGGTTGCGATGTGTTTTTGCCGTGTATAGTTCCAAATAAGGACATCATACGCACCTCTCATGGAAGAATGGCAGAAGTGGAGTTACGTCAATAACATTTATTGCTCCATTAGATACAGAAAAATATAACCCACATCTTCTCCAATTCTTGTAATTCTATCGACTAATATTGTGGATAGAGTTACAACAATTGGAGAGGACGTGAGTTATATTTTTCTGTATCTAATGCAGCAATAAACATGTTTGACGTAACTCCACTTATGCCATTCTTCCTTGAAGAGATTATCTGCACAAAGCAGCTGTGGGATGAATTTACTTCCTGTTTAACCACGTTAGTATCTATGTAATGTACGAGTTAATGATTGTTTTCTCATAAATGAACGTTTCTATTCTATTTTAAACTTATTTATGCAAGAAATATTACTTAAGCATTAATAAAAAACAGGAAGATTGAGTAAATGCTTTTGCCAGCTTGCCTATTTCCAAAGTTTTAATAAAAGTTGCGAAATTGTGAACTTGTTGGGCTTATGTTTGTATTTCGTAATACTGAAACCGCTCTTGGCAATGCTTTTAATTATCGAAAACTTATGTTTGTTGAAACATGTACTTTGTACGATTTCATATCAAATCTAAACATACGTTGATATTTGCAATAAACGCGATCTGTATAATGTAAAGCACTTAGCACAACAAATGACAAAATGAATACAAATCTTACGTAGAGTCAATAGGTGCTGTTTTGTCTTAGAAATATATTGTATAAAACAATTGTAAAAGTTTGCTAGATCATTAATGCGGTACGCGATAAAAACTTGTAATGCATAAACTATTACGTCGAAGACCCACTGGACATTGTACATTTGTTTAAACACCTTATTTAAAAAACTAATTCTAGGAATAGGATTGCTGATTAATATTTGCCAATTATTTTTCAATAATATTACTTAATGTTCTAAAAAAAATCTTTTTGCCCCTTCTAGATTTCGCCATTATTGAGTTTTCCGTTTAGTAAATTTAGGGCTTCAGCAGACTCTGTCGCTCACTAATTACAAGTTTCTTTCCACGGTATGAGTTCTTTTTATTTTCATGTTACATGAGTTACATCTAGACTAGAAGAATGTGTAAAATATTCAAAGTTGTCCTATACATGCACTACCACTGCATACAATATTTCCAATGTTAAATGAGTATGATAGAAGAGTATCGGTTTCAATGGTAACCCAGTAACGTGCGAAAGTGTTAAAGTTAGCGTGTTGGGGTAGAAATCTCATTGACGTACAGATGACTTCAGAAACTTTGAAATAGTTTGGTAGTAATTAAGCATATTAATTAAATATTTTACCTTTATTTTTCAAAAAATATAAAAAAGTAACAATATAAATACTAAGCTAACCGACTTTTCATAATCCAATCCGAGTTGCCAGATCTAAACGTGCATTATTTCTCGCAAAAAATTACGAAGCTAATTATACAACAAATCAATACCCAAATTAATTCAACGAATTAACAGAGAGTTTTAATGTCAAGTGGTATGTCAGAGCCTGTGCGCACTGTGTTCTTCTTACACGTGGAGAACGCGTGTTCGCGGAACAAAGCGTAGAGGCTCAATAAGAAAGATTGTATGAGCAGAAGTTTATTGGTTGCAACTGAATCCATCATCTGCGTGTCGTCCGCGCGAAAAATGCGCCATGTGCATAAGCTCTTACTGTAACGTAACTCATATTGTTTATTATCATTAAACATGCATAACAATAAAATGATAATTAAAATTAATAAATTATAATTAGAAGTGGGCATTATTACAACAGCAGATAATGTAAAGCATTATTCTTACGCAATGTATAACCCATTATCGAACAATTGTCTAAACTGCTGTTGTTATACTGCTATTCTGCTGTTGTGATTGTGTCGCGCGAACAAGCAAATAATACGATTACAACAGGCAGTGAGAGAGAAATGGCGCTCATCAATTGATTGATATTAAGAAGATATGCTACGATTTGCAAATCTTAAGAATATAATCTTTCAGTGCGTAACATAAAGTTATCTTTTTCATTTTATATTTTAATGTTATCTATTATCTTATTATTACATAGGGCGCACTATATGTTTCCGGAACTGGCCACTTACATAAACAATATTTAAAAAGTAATTACAACATTTGAAAATGGAACTCTGGCTGTAGAATACGGTGTTTCATCTGACTGTCACTTGTTTTTATATTGTGGCGTCATTTTAGAAAATGGTTGTCTACATCACCATAGATTTAACTCGTGAAAATTTTCGTAGTATGATTTTCTACAACTTTAAGTGTGATTTAACTGCTCAGCGGAGCTTCCCTCGACTTCAAACTGCTTTTGGCGATGAAGCACCATACAAGACGACTATTTATAGCTGGTTTGCAGAATTCAAACGTAGTCGTGTGAATCTCAGTAACGAATTTCTGCTGTGAACAACAAAATCATCAATGCTGTGCGTCGTATGATCAAAACAGACAGGCATGTGACATACCATGAGATTCGGGCATCTTTAGGCATAGGCATGAGTCAAATACAATCAATAATCTACACAAACAATTGGGTGTGAAAAAGCTGTGCTCTCGGTGGATTCCACACAATTTGACTGAGGTTCAAAAAACGGATCGCGTCACTTGGTGCAATGCCATGCTTACCAGATTCAACGAAGGGGCGTCAAATTGGTGTGGGACAGAGTAACAGGTGACAGGATGGATTTATAATTACGATCCCAAAACAAAGCAGCAATCGAGCGTATGGGTCTTTCAAGATGAGTCGAAACCAACCAAAGTGGCGCGCGTGCAAAGTGCCTCTAAGCTAATGATTGCTTCTTTTTTTAAATAAAATTGGACATGTGGCTACTGTTGCTTTGGAGAAACGTTGTACCGTGAATAGTGATTGGGACGCGACCATTTGTTTGTCGGAAGTTATTGACAATCTCTATAAAAATAGCCGTAAACGCCATATCATCTTGCACCACGATAATCCCAGTTCTCACACGGCCACACAGACAGATGAATTTTTGAAGGTGAACATCGTTGACCTTATGAGCCATCCCGCGCATAGTGCCTGCCTGGCACCTTGTGACTTTTATTTATTTCCAGAAATTAAGGAACGAGACAACGATTTTCATCACCTGAAGAGGCTGTCGAAGAGCACGAAAAATATGTTTCATAGATTGTCACGGAGGAGTGGCATATTCGTAAGAAAAAGTACATTAACGCTAAAGGAGAATGTTTTGAGAAACAATAAATTCATTTCTGACCATTTATAGTATTTTTTTCTTATTCATTCCGGAAACTTATAGTGCGCCTCACGTATAAGTCACATATTAGAAACTACGATTTATGCTTCATGCAATTGCTCGTAATGTTGTAGTAATATAAATAAAAAGGAAAGAAGTACGGGCGGGCGGTGTCTTTACACTAACTAAAATATTGTTACCTTACATTGACTTACAAATAAATGGACGACGGGTCTAATACAAAAACCACGAAAAAATGTCCCAAGTCAACCTATTTAAACGTAGTGACATGTAAAGGAATATGAAAAAGCTAAAACGTTGAATTTAAATTGTAATGTCATCGCAGTACTGTCTAATTTTGCTTGCTTTGCTGTCAGTCGAACAAACGAAGACTAAAGCGTCAATAACGCTCTGTATACGATTTTAACGCCCTATAAGTTCGGACACTTTTTAGCGCGGACCCGACGTCCATATAATTGTAAGTCAAAGTTAACTTAATAACTAATTAAATAATAATTGATAACTTGAAATGGTGTTATAATTCGTAATAAATAAAAATAAAATAAATAACTTTACTTCAGACTTCAAAGATGGTCCATTCAATTATAGGTGATAATACAGGAATGTATTTTTTGCAGTAACGGAGAAACGGGTAATATAGCAATGTCAGCAGCGCCCGAGACGCTGCTGGTTGCAGCTGTTACTACCGACCGCAGCATTGAGACAGCTACGCCCGCACCGCCGCTGCGCTCCCCTGTCGGAAAGCACTTAGTGCACTGGTTTCGCAAGGGCCTGCGGCTACATGATAACCCTGCCTTTAGAGAAGGACTCAAAACAGCGGTCACTTTTCGATGCATCTTCATTATCGACCCTTGGTTCGCTAGTTCTTCTAACGTCGGAATTAACAAATGGAGGTAAGTAACTCGCTCACTGTTTTGTTAAAGAGGAAAACATTTGACGTAACATGTTATCGTCGATGTAAAACCTGTAACCTATTTAACTACCTACGTTGTTTCATCCTAGTAACATAAGCATTTGACGACGCCCGTGATCGAGTATCTTGCATACCGGTTTTCATGGTGTCGCCATCTCTGAGGTCCCAATTCGATCCCCGGCTGAGTCAAGCTAATTGTTGGATCCCGGCTGAATCCGCCGTAAATCGGACCAGACTTACTTCGGTATTCTTCTTTTCTTCAATAAAACTCCGTATAACGTAAATCTTTCGGTTTATTGAAAGTTAGGAAAGTGGACTGTATACATTTCCATAAAAACTTCTGAATCTGTATAATATAATCTGAATTACAAGTTGAATAATCGGCGTATCTAGTAAGAATGAAAGTGAATATTATATAATAGGGGTTAAAGTATGAAATTGCCGATTTGTACTGA